TGTCAGCTTTTCTCTTGAAGGAATTCAAATACTTCATCATGCATTTTAACTAACATTCACGTTAAACTTAATTCTATGCTACGTTACTCCGTCGTCTCGTTATTATCCCACTTGACAATTTCCATATCTCACCTTTGCTATAAACCAAAACAAAGATATTTACACGAAATTTGTGAACAAATATCCTGTGTGAGTCTGTGACACTAACATTTTTTGGTCGGACGGACGGACGCACACTTAGATCATAACTCTTAGGAGAAATCATTCTGATGAAGACGAATCTGTAATTTACCAACACTTTCCGAACTAACTAACCAGACTGCTTAACTCGTTCATCGAACCAATTTGAGGAAAATACTGATCCAATTTTAAATCCAGAGCCAATTTATCAAACATTTCAAACATGAATCTCACATTCGAATCATATTCTTGTGCATCATTTCACCTCTACATTCTTGTGCTCCTACTTCACATTCTATTTGGTCATTATGATATAAACTGCAAATGCATTAATCGAACATGAACCGACATTCACAAAGGCGATTTCTGACGCGATTCGTTCTACTTTAGACCCATTGTTTTTGTTCATGGTTTGTAAACAAACCCCTTTAGTTTCCAAACATCCACCAACTCTAATATTGTTTGGATCCAGAACACAATAGTCTCAAACCAGTAATCGAGATTCGATAAAATTTGCTGCACACCAAACACCATCAAAACCCAAATCCATGTCACAAGCAAAAGAGACAACACAAATCGAATGTGGAAAACTGTTGAATTGAATTTCATGTTTGAATCATGTTTCAAAAAATTCAGAATAATCTTGATTCCTCAACTTAAAACCAACAAGCAATATCAAATCTACATTCCGTTCTATTAAGTTTGTTAATGGAGAAGAGTTACCCAACTCGTTTCTGAAAACAATTGGTTTTGCGTTTACCAAATCAAACACGACCTGAGACAGGAGCCGAAGCGGCGGCAACTGCGGCGGATGTAGCGGCTCCGCTGAGAAAAGACAATAATCCGGTGTTCGCAGGTTCTTGCTCATCCAAGAAAAGATCCTCCGGAACCCTAAATGCGCCGTGTAAACATACGATTCCGAATCCGATCAGCAAAGCAGAGGTCAATAGAGATCCGACGCTGGTCAAGAACACGACGACGATTGTTAAAACGACCAAAACTCCAAGCGTCTCTCGATCTGAGAACGAACGGCCGAGAATAACCAGCGGCGAATCGGATTGACGGAAAAGGTAGAGGAAGATCCACGCGCCGAAGAGGCAAAG